GTACTTACTAGCCTCCTTTATTTATTTATTTTCTTTGCCCCCTGCCCCCATTCTTCATTAAATTTGTTTTGCACAATAGGTTTACAAATGTTACACATCTTAACTCTGACAAAAGACTGCTGACTAACCCTTGTTGATTTGTGGTCTTGAGACTGATTGTCTTCTCTTTTCTCAAGGATTTGCCTTCTTTTTCCCCAGTGACCACTGTGCTCCTTAAGTTCTGTTGGTGTGTTCCTGTATCCTGTTAGACATAGACATGCCTCTTAAGAGCAGCCTCCCTGCTCTCTTTATTAAAGAGCTTCCCACCCAGAGTCTTCACTCTAGGACAGGCCAGCAAACCAGTCCTACTGAGGTGTGAGTTGGTTTTCAGTTTCATCTGCTCAACTCCAACTTCAAGTGTGAGTTGATGTGTTAGTCAGTGAGTCCATCATCCTGTGGGAGAGACTCTGGAGAGGCACTCTGTTGTCTCCATTAGTAGTTAACAAGAGGTGCCTTTAGCTTCCGGATGTTACCATCTCATTTGGTCAAACCTCTGATACACAGCTTGACAAAACTGATAATGTGGGTCTAATCAGTTGTGATTACGCCTGTGCACGAAAGCATTACCTGACCTTCAGGTTAGGTATTCTACCTTAAGTTGACAGACTTTGTGCAGCCTGATGGATGTCAAGGAGTTCGTCATTCTTTCTATACAGCCAGCTCTAGACATCTTTGGGGAGATTTTGCAGTCCGGCATTCCCGCTACTGTTCATGCTCCGTGGAGGCTGGGCGTAGTCGCTGTGGCGCAGCCTGTGGTACCAGGCTAGCTGCCGCCTTCTGCTTTTGTTGTCCCATCGGCCCACCTCTGCACTCATCTTAAACAGCCTACCCGGCTTTAGAAAACGACTTGGGAAAAGTTTAGTCATTCAAGCCACCAGTAAACTTAGATGGATGCCACTAAGTGTTTACTGTTTTTATCCAGGTGAGGAGTCTCTTCCTTGGACATTTGGTTTAGATTCTGGAACCAGATGCAAAGAAGTTCTGTTCAGAGCCAAGAGTCAAAATCGATTTCAGTTGGCATAATGGACATTTACTCAATCAGTGACTTCTCCAGATTTCCCTAAATTAGCATGATGGAGTGAGCGAGCAGACATCCACCTTTGGAACCACAGCATAATAAAAATTAATTGGAGCTGGAGTAACTAGCACTGTGGCTGTCTAGTTCTCCACAGTCGGCCCAAGGAGTGAAGGGACGGCATTTCGCTTTGGCTCATGTTCCTGCACTCCTGGTACAAGAGGGTTTAAGCCTGAATGTGTAATGGCAGCCTTGTCTTTGCCAAATCAAATGAGTGACGGGTTAACTAGAAAATGTGACAATCACATTTCCTCTTTGCTCAAATAATTCTGTTTTTCCAAAGCTTTAGCAGCTTAATTAAATCTGTTGGACTGGGGGAGGAGAGAACTGTTCTTTAGCGGTTAACATGGTATTCTTTAAGAAGAAAAAAACAAAGCCAAAGAAAACTCATTATCAGGCATGTTTGCCTTAAAGATGGTGGTGGGTAAAATCTGGAGTTTTAATCTGTATTTAAAGCTGCGTATCTCCTATGTGGTGCTGGCCTCTCAGACTAGTATTTGGTGATGAGTTCTTGCTGTATTGTTTTATTGGAGTGACGGTTATGTGCATTTAACTGCCTACCTAGCTTTCTTCGTTCATGATGGCATTCTCACCACGGGGGTCTTGACAAAGAGTAAAAATGTGCTGTTTACATAGTTTACTTCTAAGAGCCTGAAATAACCTGTAGTTTTGCATCTAACACAGGCCTGATTTACTTGAGTTGTCGGGATCAATTATGAAACTGAAGTTTGGTGCCTCCTCTTTATCATGTTTTTTCCCTTGTAGCAGTTGTGTTTAATGTCATTAAAAAGAAATAAAAGTTCTTGTCGTGGCATATGTACTGTAGCCGTCTGTTGCAGGCTTTGAAGGAGGGTTCCTTCCTCTTTTGCGTGGGTAGGTTAGTGGGGTCTGGGCGGGGGTGGCAGTTAGTAGATTGTGGTACTGGGGAGGCGAGGGTGCGTGCTCCCTATTCTTTTGAGGGTAAATTACAGTGTTGAGAAAGGCGTTCCAGCAGTTCAGAAATGTTGAAATTGATTGGGATCTGCAGCTACATATAGTGCATGTCAGGAGCCTGACATAGAGAAAGCCTGAAATATCACTGTGCTGTTTTTGCAGAGGGGGAGACGGCTCAGCCCCATCACACAAGCGCTGCCTTACAGTCCTTCCCACAGCTATATGGTTGACCTCTATATCAGTCTCTCCCGAGCCACTGCTGATTAAGGAGGATGCTGAGCTATCCCAGGACATTCTCCCTTTAAAAGGGATGTGGGAAACCAGAATTGATCATACAGAATTGATGGTTGTTCTTAATCCAGCTTCTCCAGAAACTGACTGCTCCTGGAACTTGGATGAAGGTGGCATTAAGCGTGGGTAGTTGTGGGAGACACGACGTTCCTTCGATCCCTTTTGTGAGCCTAAGCTTCTTAGACTTGCCCCAGGAGACAGGATGAAGGCAGTAATAGCTTGTCACCTATATTAGCCAATGCTTTTAAAATCTCCCCTCATGCTGAGGAAATAAGTAGCAACATGTTGGGACAGGCTCTCTGTCCTGCTGTTAACGTAAGTTTTGTCTAGTGGATATTGTATAGTCCAGGCAAAAGCTTCAATATAAATTTGCTAAACACTCAGCTGTTTGATACATATCCATTTTGTTTCTGTCAGGTGGAGATCCCTTGTCCAGGGAGTTGCTTATTTCCTTTTTAGCACCGTGTCACTGCAGACATCAAAGGTTTCAGAGACGAGGCTGCATTCTCTGAAGTGATGATGTCCTTTACCCTTAGTTCATGTTATGTTATAGGAAATTGAGGGGGAGGAGAAATGGACCTTCTCTCAAAGGAATGGGGTCATTCTCTAGCCTATTTTGAGCTTTTACAGGAAGAAAAAAAACCCAACCACCTAAAACTAGAAAGCAGAGTTACCTGCTTTTCTCAGTGTTGTCCTGCTTTTCCCAGAGCAAACAATTCCTAAGCTGGTTCTAGGGAATGCTTGCTTTGTATGTCAGGGCACCTGTCAGGAAAAAAATTTCCACTTGTCACAGGAAGTATCAGCTGGTCAGCAGTGGAATTCCTTAATGAACAAGCTCCTGCCTTGTCAGTCCTCTCCACCTGTCCTGTCCGATGACAACTGGAACATGCCACAGACAGAAAACCAGACCTTCCCCAGCACCCGCTGAGAAGGGGGTGGGATGTGATCTCTTGGACAAGCTTTAAAACACTCCACTTGGTAGTCCTGAATCACTATCGTTCTCATTAAGGAACTATTGGTATAGGAGGAGCTCCTTCAACTTAGCTTCCAATGACACTTTGAGGGTTTGGGAACATTGTACTGATGGAGCTTGGTGCGGCTGGAGTGGGGCCGGGGCCGTGTCCCATTTATGGAAGCAATTCGTTCTTGGAGGCCACTTAAAAGCGAAATCCAAAAACTGTCAAATAGGTTTAAAGAGGGTGAGAAATAACAGCAGTCTGAAACATCAAGTGACTGGGGTGGTGCAATATTACATATTTTTGTAAAAGGGCTGAATTAGCTTACCATGGATTCTAGAGGCGGCCACCCTGAAAAGCCTGGGTTGAAGGGACAGGATCAGAAAGAGCAAAGGACTCCTGCCCCACAGAAACACTCATGGTCCTTCCTCTCCCAGACCCTGGGGCTTCCCTCTTCCTGTTCTTACCCTTTTTGTTTTTGACACATAAGGAAACCACCCCCCAGAGAAGTAACTGGCCTGAGAGGTCACGTGGTGACAAGGCAGGTTCTCTGCCCTCCGTCCAGCATTGTCCCAACATTCTCCCACAGGCCCTGCGTGGCCTGCGGGTCAGGTCTCCGTCTCCAAGAACTTGCTTACATCCGTCCCAAGCTGTGAGGAATCTGCGGATCTAAGTGTGGTGAAGAGGGGACCCCAGCCCAAGTCATAGCTGTAGGTTTACTGTGCAATGACGGCTGGTCTGAGAAAAGCTCAGTCGTAGAACGTGGGGTTTTTAGGGATGTAACTAAAGAGAATGGGGTAAATTTATCTAAACCAGAAGTGTCCACTCCTCTCCCCTCCCCCTCAGACCCTCAGCCGATGTACTGCAGGCCCTGCTAAATTCCCCTTAGCAGTGCCTTCCTGACCACCGACAGCGATCTGTATTTACCTGATGCCGACTTAGGGGCTTCTCCACCACAAGGCACCAGACAGGCACACAGGACCCAGGGCTTGGCAGGGACCTGTCTCTCAGGTTGGGGTTAGAGTTCTGGGTGCTAATAGATTTCCACTTTCCCACCCAGCCTTCAAGACCTGTCTTCCTCCTCTTGGAACCTTCCAGAACGTCTACCCTAAGTCCTGCTCACCTGACATTTTCTCTCCAAGCTCTTGCTGGCTCTGGACAAAAGGTATCTGAGGTGTCCCATTTACCAGTTTGCTCACTGGCTAATGGCATCGTTACTCCACCTTTCAGCCTGCTGTTTGGGCTCATCATGAGGTTCCTTGGACGGCCCCAAACAGCAAGCTGGGAATACTGCGCTGCAGCAGGCCGCTTCCGCAGCTCCTCTCCGCTCCCCTCCTCACCCTGGGGAGAAACAAGAACCACATTCCTTCGGGTAGGGGAAAACACCCAGCGCTGCCCAGAGGGGAAAACCCTTTGTTTTAAAAACTGAGCACCAGCCTGCATACCTAGGCGATGAGGCAGCCCGAGCCTGGATTTGGGGGCCTCAGTAATGGGATGATGGAGCAGCTATTTTCTCCTCCTACACGTGCACCCCCATCTGTTCGAGATTTCCCTTCCAACTCCAGCTTGGCTGGCAGGCATGTCCCTAAGAAGCTGCAGGCCAAAATGGAGAGAGAGAACCGACTCCCTCCTCCACACATCCTGACTTGCTGCCAATTGCCAGAAAAAGAGGGCAACATTTGGGCATTTACCAGAAGACAAGGATGTGCCTTTTCATTTGTCTTTTATTTTACATTTAAAAAGAGGTTATTGCTCTAACTGAATCAGAGGTAAGGACCTCTCCCCTAAGCAGCCTTGGCCTTGCAGTCCCATTCAGCAGGGATGGAAGTCACAAGACAATGAGTGGAGCCTCATGCCCTCCCGTGAGGAAGCCCTTAGTATTGCTGACATCTGCCTTTCACCCTGTCTCTCCTCCCTCCCTGCGCTGCCACACCAGGGCGAAGCAGAGCAGTGGCTGGCCTAGCCACGAGAGCTCTTCTAGACCGGATGGTGGCGCCGGTCTTTGGGTGATGGCTTTCAGCTCTCTGGCTTGGGGGCCACTGCTCTTACCATTCAGTTCAGCAGGTATTCACTGAGCGCCTACTGTGTGCCAGGCTTGTGCTAGGTGTGGTCCTCCCACATGCCCGTCCTTAGCCACCAATGGAAGACGCAGAGGCCCATCTCTTCCCACGCAGGCATTCAGCGGCTGTAACTTGCAGTCCTAGGGAAGAGTCTGCCTTCCCTTGTCAAGCACCATTTTTGTTTTGTTTTGTTTTGTTTGCCAGAAAGGGGCAGTGGAGAGAGAGACCTGTCACCTCACACCACTCAGGCTCTAGGGAAGGACATGAGGACCCTGGGTAGCTTTCACAGAACCCTGGATGAGATGGCAAGATATGGAGACCCCGGAGGCCAGGGCTGCTCTGTCTGTGGTAAATGGCTCAGGCCTGCCTTCTAGCAGCTTCCATTCCAGAGCGGGTGATTTAGCAGCCCCCAGGATGTCCCATGCGGACACACCGTTTCAGTCATGTAAGCCAACATTGTCACAATTCCAAGACTCTTCCTAAAGAAATGGGGCCAGTACCGTCCAGGTCTCTTTCCTACCTCGTCTTCTTAAGACTGCAGACTAATTATGTTAAGGGTCAAAATAAGGGCCAAAGAAGACAGAGGCTGCGGGCAACCAGCTTGGGGAATTCCTCTGCCCTCTGGAGTGAAGCCCTTCCGTCACATTTTCCAAAGAGACAAAACATAACATCTTACACACTCGCAAAGTTGTGCATCACACCGCAAGTCCTTGATGGCTGGATCCAGGAAAGGCTTGCTGGCAGCCGTGCTCCTGCCCTGTGGCTTTCCTGAAGGCTCTCAGTCTGAAAGACACAGCTGAAGTCAGTCTAGGTGCTTGTCATCTCCCGGGAGCTCTGTGCATTGTCTCAAAGAGGAAGCCAGTCCAGAAGAGGCGAGGAGGCAGAAAGAAGGCTGTGTCTCATGCAGCTTTGCCTTTTCCAGAATGGGGCCAGGCCTTTTAGTTTTGTGGCTTGTTTATTTTTTGCAGATTTTGGGTTCACAGTTCGGTTTCCTTCAGCAGACTAGGATGGGGAAGAGTGCCAACGGTGCGGCCGGCTGTGCCTCCCCCCATCCGCAGTCCTCCCCGTCCGGGTGCCCATGGACCCGGGGACAGCAGAGAAGAAAAATGAAATCCTTCTCCCTGCAGACAGGCAGTCATGCTTCGATGATGTTCACCGAGGGCTTGTTTGGAAACTGGGAGGAAAAAAATGAGAGAAGCAGCCAGGGCTAATTGAATAGACTTCTTGCAAGGTTGGAACTAGAGAGAGGACACGAGAAGGAAGGGCTGCAGCCTAAAAGCCAGGCTCTCGTCCCGCGTGGAAGGAAAGGAGTGGCCCTGCCCGCGTGCCTCGTCTCTCTGCCTTCTTAAACCCAGCCTTCGGCCTCACTCGCTTAGTGGCCAAGACTGGGTGCTGGGCCCTCGGCCCCAGGCCCCCTGTCCACCCCCGGCAGGGCCATCCCGCCGGCCGTTTCTCGCGCATCCTGCGGACCTGCCTCTGAGCGCAGCCTCAGCCACTGACATTGTTGAGGTGCTTCTGGAGATGGGGGTTAAAAAGAGGCTTCAGGAAAACGCGGCAGAAAGAGAGAAGCCAAGAGAGAGGACAGTAAGCCAGGGGGTGTGAGGAGATGGAGGGAGGAGATGTGGAGAGGGCCAGATGTTTGTTGGATAATCATCGTCAGAACCATGACATCTCTCACTTCTCCACCGTCTCTTCTGAGCTGCTCAGAGCGAGCACTGAAAAGGTTCTCATATCTGTTTTGCAGAAGAGGAAACGAAGGTACAAAGAGGTGAAGTACCTGGTCAAGGTCACACAGCACAGCAGGAGCAGAAATGGGCCTAGAACCCCCTATTTGCGTGGTCCCACACCAACCGAGAATTCTGCCCTCCCCGGTCACCACATCTGTTTAACCCTGCTGGCCCCTACAGAAGGTCCAAAATCGATGTGCTATGTCCCGTGTGTCACACAGGCAGCGGCCAAGCGTGGCCCTACCCAGCTGCAGCCACGCTGGGACCCGAGCTGAGCCCAGGGGCTGCCCACCCAGGTCCAAGACTCCCTCTCACCTTGCTGCGGAGAAGACCTCCGCCCTGGTGCTCTGGTGTGCTGGTTTCCGACGCACTCTTGGTCTTCTCCTTGTTGTTATTGGGTTCGTTGTCCTTGATAATGTCATACTGGCGGCAGAAGAGGGCGATGACGCCTGGGAGGGGGGCAAGAGAGAGCAGTGAGAGGCCAGAGCTCGAGGCCCGCCTGCCCGCTTCATTCCCGCTGGCATCTGCTGGGCCCCTGTTAGACACTGAGCTCCAGATGGCCTCTCCCCTGCACCACTGCACCTGTCCCCCACTAAGCCAACCCCTTTGCTGCCACTGGGCTGATCTTCCTACGACACTCATCTGATCCCACCTTCCCCGCATTCAACCTCGGACAGCTCCCTTTTCCCCTTAGGGGAAACAGAAACCGTAACATTCGCTGAGCATGTGCCAGGCCCCGTGCAGTATGCACTGACTCGGCCGATGCCACCATCCTCACAGCGCTGGGAGGGTACCTGTAATTACCCTCCCCAGGTTACCAGTGAGGACGCCGATGCAGAGCGCCTCGGCACCTACTCCAGGTCCTGCGGTGGCGGAGCCGGGATGCGCACTCCAGGGCCTGCGCTCTGCTAGATGTTCATTGTTAGCAAACGAATAAGACGTGAACGTCATAGTTTTTGAAAGTCAGATACTATTAAGGCAGCCAACTCCAGTGCTGGTAGGTGTCTTCTCCATTTTTACCTCTGTGTTTTATTTATAGTGCTATTTCTTGATCTGTTTTAGATACTATCTTTTGACTTTCCACCATGGTAGATACCCCGCTTCCTTCCCCACAATCCTAACAGAATCACATCACAATCTTGGGTTAGTTCACCATGTTTATATTGTTACGGTTATCTAAATACTGTCTGTGCCCAGTCTAATAACACACCATAAACCTCTTTTGTAAAATCTTTTGTGTTTTTTGGTCCTTTTTCTACAAGTGCCTGCTTTTTGTTTTTTTAAGTTCTTATTTATTTTGAGAGAGAAAGATAGCTCAAATAGGGGAGGGGGCAAAGAGAGAAGGAGAGAAAATCCCAAGCAGGCTCCAAGCTGTCTGCGCAGAGCCCGACATAGGGCTTGATCTCATGAACTGAGAGATCGTGACCTGACCCGGAATCAAGAGTCAGACACTTAAGTGACTGAACCACCCAGGTGCCCTACAAGCACCTGTTTTTTGATGTGCCTACAGGACATTTTTTCCAAACTTCTCAATACAGCCTGTCCTCTCAACCACCATGCTAATGCAGATTTGGCATGGTGTTCGAGTCCCTCAAAACAGACTCCAGCCTACTTTAGAGCCTCACCGTCCTTTACTGTCCCCTTTCTACCTTCTCTCTTGGGTCACAGCTGCACTGAGCCAGACTGAACTCAATTTGTTTCTTCTACACACTGTCATCAGAACACTGTTCCTTTTATTGGCTGCCTGGTGAACTCCTATTCATCCTTCAAAGCTCAATCCCCATGTTTCCTCCTCTCTGTGTTCTTCCCGATTTCTACTCCTAGCCCCAGAATTAATTCCCTCTCCTCTGCCCTCATGTGATGGCACTCATCACACTGAGTCACAGTTAAGTATGGGCCTCCCAGACCCGGTTCCTTGCAAGCCCAGGGCTCTCCTTAGTCACGACTATAGTACTACTATCTGGAATGGGATGGCCGTTCAGAAAATGCTGGTTGAGTTAAGTACAAAGATGACATTTGTTCTTTATCCTCAGGTAGCTCACAGACAATTGGGAAAAGGGAGAGACATGAGCCCAACTACCTCATCTAAGAAAAGCTAAAGAGAGGGAAAAGCAGTGCATTATGGGAACAAGATGCAAGATGGCCATTCTAATGGATGGACTGTAGACCCAGCAACCCAGAAGGAGGCATGAATGCTGCAGCCAAGGCCAGAAGGCAAAGGGGCTGTGGATGCGTCCACCCCAGGAGCCTGAACTACTCCTGAGGGAGGGAAGGCCAAGTGCTCCAAGGCAGCTCTCAATCTACTAAGTTTTTTTGTGAGAGGTCAGATCTGGCCGCCAGAGCAGGACTTTGAGGCTTCTCATGTTATTTCTCAGCTGCCTCCAAGCCCCCACCCTTCCCTCCTGTGAGAGAAGGGATCTGGCCAGGGGCCTTCATTCCCCGGAAGTCGAGTGAATTAGAGCTTGGAGGCAGACTCACCGGCCCACATGAACAGGACCACCACGATGATCAGCACCTCGCCGGTTCGCAGCTGTTGGCTCCTCCCCATCTCCTTCATGGTCACTTCATCTGTGGGGAGGGAGACACTAGGTCTGAGGCTCCGTTCATTCCCAGCCACCCCTCTAGGGCCAGGCCCAAGACCTTAAGTGCTTATTTCTATAGGTGCCCAGATATCTAACAAAAAGAGATTTGAGAACATGCCGATGGCTCCTTGGGGCAGCAGCAACAGGGCCTTGACCCAAAGCTGAGAGGCTATATCCTCACTGTTTGGGGACTAAGGTGACCTCCTCTCTCAGGTACTGCTTTACTAGGCAGCAGGGTGTGGGCAGTGGGGGAAGAAACGGGGTTGGCGCTTTCCTCAAGCCTCACCCCGCACCCCCCCCCAACAGTGCCCTGGGCCTGCCTTTGTTCTTGGCCGCCATCTTCTCAGCCTCACGAGGGGTCTTGAAGAGCACTGGCTCGCTGGCTGGGCTCTGGCCCTGAATGGAGATGGCCTGCACGTGCACAATGTACTCAGTGTCCTCTTCCAGGTCCCAGAGGGCGCATGAGCGGGTGGTGGTGTTCACCTCCTGGATGAAGCGCAGCATCCGCACGTCCTTCTTCTGCCAAGGAAAATGCCAGGCCCGCTGCTGTCAGCGCCCCGTCACCGACCCCACTCTGCCCACCTCTCTGGCGGTGACATGGGCTCACCCAGCTACCATGCTTTTATAAATAAAGCCTTTATACACATAAGCTTCCTCCCCTATCCCCTCACCTCTGCAGGGAGCTATCGTTATCTCTGTTTCCAGATAAGGAGACTGGGTGCTGAGAGGTTACAGAAGTTGCCCAAGACCGTCTCCCCAGTGAGAACTTGAACCGGGCCCCAAACCTCGGTCTTATGTTTAAGATCAAAACCAGGGGCGCCTGGGTGGCGCAGTCGGTTAGGCGTCCGACTTCAGCCAGGTCACGATCTCGCGGTCCGTGAGTTCGAGCCCCGCGTCAGGCTCTGGGCTGATGGCTCAGAGCCTGGAGCCTGTTTCCGATTCTGTGTCTCCCTCTCTCTCTGCCCCTCCCCCGTTCATGCTCTGTCTCTCTCTGTCCCAAAAATAAATAAACGTTGAAAAAAAAAAAAAATTAAGATCAAAACCAGGCTCTTGATTCCCAGATTCCAGTCAAAGGCCCCTGAGCCCTCCTTACTGATCCGTTCCCCGCTGGGGTCCCCATTCCAAGCCATATGTGCAATTCTTCTGCCTGTCCCTCTTGCTCCTTGTTCCTTTCTATTTCTGCACCCCCTCCCCTCCATCCCCTGCTACTATCTTGATGAGTTCTTCCCTCCCAGACCCTCAAGGGTTACCTGCTGAGAGATGGCAAATCCGATGACAACCTCATCCTCCAGGACGTCCCAGCTCACCACTGCAGAGTTGGCCTTGAGGTGCCTGACAGTGACATTCACTGGGGCCGAGGGGCTGTCTGGGGGTGGGGAGGCACCTGAGCCTGAGCACCCCCTGCTGTGGGGCCCAGGCCCACTGTCTCATAAGTGGAAACCTGGGGAAGGCCACACAGTGGGGAAGGAAGAAAGCAAGGCCTCCATGGGGCTGGCACATCTCAGTTCATCAGTGGTTGAAGAGCCAGGCCTGAGAGGCCCCAGGCTCCTCATGTCCAGGATGGGAGTCCCCACTGGTCACACCGGCCCGATCAGCAGTCCAAGTTAGAACTGACGGGCCTGGGCTAGGGCCAGATCTAACGGAGGAGTGGAAAGAGGTGGGGGCGGGGGGGCGCTGGTAGGGCGGGGGGAGGCATAGGTGGCCAGGGTTGCAGGTGCTGAAAGTTAGTCTGATGAAAAGCAGTCAAAAGGACTCCCAGTCCAGTGCTCTTTCTATAATACCACATTGTCAAGTGACCTTGAGGGAAGGAGAAAGACCCAGAGGTCGAGAAGAGCCAGGCCAGGGTGAGCCCTGGGTTGGGACTGAGGATCACAAGAGGAACCCCCAGTATTGTAGTGACCCAGGATCCAGACAGAACGAAGCCCGGGGAGGGGTCTATCTAGGTGAGCCTCTTCTCCACATTCTGCCAGCCTCGAGAGGCAGGTAGGGAGGTGGCAGGGGAAGACGGGGTCACGCAGAGCACGTTCTCTCGGGAGAGTCAAGAGTACGGGTGGGTCAAGTCTTCTGGATATGGGAAAAGGGTGAGAGGGGGTCAGTCAAGAAGGGAGAGTGACAGGATGGTGGAGGTCAGGGAAGGAAGAACCTCTCTAGGAGAAGGGCCGTGAGTCACACAGCCTCTCTGTCTCCCAAGGGGCAAGTGCTGCAAGGGGGACACCTGGCCCTGACCAGCACCCTTCACCCCACAGAGGGGTGGACCTGAGGCCCAAGGGGCTGGGCCTGGGGCGACAAAGCCAAAGTGGAGATAGAGACAGAGGGACACAGACAGGTGGCGGCAGACACAGAACCAGAAAACAGACAAGTGGGCTATCAGAGACAGACGTAGAGAGGAAGCAGAGAGAGAGAGAGAGAGAGGGAGAAAGCACTGAGCCACAGAGAGATGGGTAGAGGGACAGATGAGCGAGGCGCCAGAAGCCAAAGGGACAGATACAGAGCCTGGGGAGAGCCTGGGCTGGGTTAGGATGAGGCCGGCACACGGGGCAGGCCAGACAGTGACTGCAGTAGGCTCAGGGGTCCATCCCGCCCACCCAGAGCCCTAGGGTGCCAGTCCCCAACCCCCTCACACATGCTCACGCAAACTGGGACCCCATCCTGCTCCGACCTGCAGAGTTGTCCTGCAGGGCTTTGGGGACAGGGAGGGAGGCCCAAGGTTGGGGGACTGGTGTCCTCGGCTGCTCCCCGGGCCAGAGAAGGGAGCTCAGCTCAGGCACCTGAGGCAAAGGCCTGGGGTCAGGGCAATGGGATGAGGGGACCGGGGAATTGCAAGACCCTAGACCCCAAAGACCCCAGGGCTGGGGTGGTGGGCAGCGGGGGGGGCAGGGGCTGGAGGACGGGCCTGGGGGTCAAGAAGTGGGGAAGAGGCCGGGGGCAGGGAGGCAGGAAGGGCCCCGAGGACTCCCGCCCCGCGCCGAGCCCCCAACCCGGGCCCCCTTACCCGCCTGCACCAGCGCGAGGCAGACGCAGCCCAGCCACAGGCGG